CCTGATAATCATCATCTTTACTATCATCATCTTTTTTATACTCAATATCGCAACCTTCATCTTTTTTCTGTTGATCATCATCTTCACTATCATCATCTTCATCACCAGCAAAACAGTAAAAGCCCTCGCGGAGCAGAACATTACCCTGTGGCACGCCCCCAGCATATTCCTCAGCGAGGCTGCCATAACCTACGCTACCAAACTGGCCAGCAAACTTCCCGGCAACCTGAAGGTAAGTTTTTAGAAACGAAATACGAACTTCTACTTCTTTCATAACTCGAGCACCGATCTAGCGAACGAATTCAAACTTCTAAATTCAACTCACTCGCCAGTCTGTCTACCTAACAAACAGTGGGACTGAGGCGAACGACTTGGCACTTCACATGGCGCGTTTGTATACGGGCAGATTTGATATCATTTCTCTACAGTTAGTGATCGTGCCTTTCATCGTGCACTGTCGTAAAATTAGCCTGAATATCATAATAATCATCCTCATTATCATCATCCTTCCCATCATTATCATCATCCTTCCCATCATCATCATCATCCTTCCCATCATCATCGTCATCATCTTCATACCTACCCAGGAATGCATACCACGGTGGCAGTCCTCATCTGATGGGGACGACAGCGATGAACACGTGGAAACACAGCGTTCCCGGTGGCTTTGGTGAGTGAAAATCTTCCATAATCATAATCTTTTTCCTCTTAATCATCATCACTATGATAATAACCCCCATCATCATCATTATCATCATCATCAACAACAACATCATCATCGTGACAGGTGGTCATCAGACTGTGGTACCGGATGTTTACAGAGGACCATGGGGCGGTAGCAAGTGTAGGGACTCCATTGTCCAGACAACGAGGAACTGCAATTGCAAAGATGGTCAGTTGATGATGATGACGGTGATGATGTTGATGGTGATGATGATGGTGGTGATGATGATGGTGGTGACGGTGATGATGGTGTTGATAATAGTGTTAGCTATGATGAATTTGGTGATGGCGATGTGAGTGACAGTTGCGATTGAAAATGTTTTAAATACTGAAATGAAAAATATTTGTGAATGTGAGTATGAAGACAGTCAGCTTAACAAATGGTAACAGAAAAATTAATATGATTGATAGTATTGAAACTAACGCTTTATTAACAAATTTTTATTTGAGGGTGCTGTGAGGCAAACGAGAGGTACTTGGAGCAGTTGGAAAATACTTTAAAGTTTTCCATTCCCAAAGTGGGACCAGCTGCCTTCATTGCGGAATCTATCCAAGGAGCTGGAGGGGTTGTACAGTTCCCGAAGGATTACCTCAAAAAGGCCTTCCAGATGATCCGTGCCAAAGGTTTTAATAACTTAAAAATTTCATTATGTAAATTTTGATATCTGTAGTCACGCAAAATAATTGTTTACATCTTAGGATTGTTCAATGTAAATTTAGTGAAGAGTTTGAAAGATGTTAAAACATGAATTTATTCACTGGAACGCACGTGAATTCAAATGAAATTTAAATATCGCAATTGTCTCAATATGCAAGAAGCATCTCTCTCACACAACTGCAAAACAAAAACAACAAACGACGACATTGAGTAGGAGGCTTGTGCATCTCAGACGAGGTTCAGACGGGCTTCACACGGACGGGCAGCCACTTCTGGGGTTTCGAAGCTCACGGAGTCGTTCCTGACATCGTGACAATGGCTAAGGGAATCGGAAATGGATTTCCATTGGCGGCAGTTGTGACCACCCACGAAATCGCCAAGCCTTTGAGCTCTGCTCTGCACTTCAACACATTCGGAGGAGATCCACTGGCTTGTGCTGTTGGGTCGGCTGTTTTGGATGTCAGTGTTCATATTTTTTGCGTTCAATCTGTAATAATATTAAGTACTTCAGTTAAAATGATAAAAAATCATGCACAGACTTTAGAATCGGAAAAATGCATGGAGAATTCTGACGAGGTAGGTAGTCATCTGCTGAGAGAACTGCAGAAGTTGAGAGATTCAAACAAATTTGTTGGTGATGTTAGAGGAAAAGGATTGATGGTTGGTCTCGAGATGGTTCAAAATAAGGTAACTGTTCGTTACGTTTGTTTTGTTTGTGTTTATAATTTTTCGGTTCGCTCCTGTTGGTGGCAAGTTTTGTTAGGCAGCAAGTCGTTGCTGGGTCAATTTTTAAAAAAAATGTCCAGCTGACTTTCTTTTGATGTCAACTTTTATTATTATTGAAATGCCATTCTAGTTCAACAAAAAATGTCGTTTTGAAGTTTTAAATTTTCCATCTCAGGAAACAAAAGAACCACTGCCATTGGAGAAGGTGAATGCTGTTTGGAACGAGATTCTCGACTTGGGTGTCGTTCTCACGAAAGGAGGAATTTCAGGGAACGTTCGTAGGATGATGAAACTTGTCATGTTGTTGGAGAAAATTATAAATATAAAATAATGAAAATATAACTTCAAATAATGAGATTATATTTTAAAAAAACCAACATTCAGCACAACACATTCGCTACGCATTAGATATAGCAACATTAAAAACTTGAAAATACCCAACAAACCAAATACGCAACGTAATAATAATACCAGGTATTCCGTTTGAAACCACCCCTCTGTATAACGAAGGATGACGTCAATTTTGCCGTTTCCGTTATTACGAAGGCCATCAACAAACACCTCAAGTAACGCAATTGTTGTACGAGATATCTGAAATTTTGTTCGAAATATCTGGGATGTTCTACGATATATCTGAAAAACGTGTGATTAAAGCAGTTTAGCGGGAAATGAATTTTTTTGTTGTTGAATTTGTTAATTAATTCTAAGAATGTTCATTTGAAATTAAAAGCAAATAAATTATTAATATTCAGTAATTGAGTTTTATGTCAGATAAAATCAACTGCTAACTTAAGATTAAAGTAATTGAGTTTTTTATTAAATAAAATCAACTACTAACTAAAGATTTTGTATTTAAAGATCTTTGGTGGTTTCATTTTTTCTTCGTTAGTATTTTTGTGAGGTGCCCGTGGTGAAAGTAAAGTTAATGCGTTACTTTTTTCTAAGTGTCAACTGATATGAAATATAACATGCACTGATAAACACTTTTGAGCATTCACATACTTTAATTTTTATAAATTTTTTTTTTCAAGTTCCCTATCTAAATTTGGATTCAGATTTCTTTTGTAAAAGGTTAAAAGGTCAAATTAATGGAGTATTAATATGGTAAACTAAATTATTTAAAATTTTTAAAATCAACTTGATTGAAATCACTTTGATGAAAAATCCGTTTATTACAAAAAATTCAATACTTTAACAGTTATCAAATTACAAAATGTACAAAGATAATAATAAAAAAGAAGAAGAAATAAATAAAAATAATAATAAAAACACTAATAAAAACAATAATAATTATTAATATTATTATTATATAAATAATTTATACTGCCAAAATTTTATAAAATATGACAAAATAAAATAGAATAATGAAAATGCGAAAAATGAATGAATGAACGAATGATTAAAACATTGAAACTCCAAATTAGAAAAAATTTTGACGTAAGAATTTGAAATGAAAATAAAATACTATTAAAATCTGATGATTAGAATGATAAAAATGATTATCATATTATTGTCTGGTGATGATGGTCGTCAATGTGTGCGCGCGTGTGTGTGGTGTGTGTTTGTGTGTGTGTGTGTTGTTTTTGACCTCAAAACAAAATAAGAGGTACAGGATGACTGCTGTAAGAAGTCTTCAGATGAATCATTGGGTATGTGTGTGTGTGTGTATGTGTGTGTGTGTGTGTGTGTGTGTGTAAATATGTATGTGTGTTTTTGTGTGATAGTTGGTGGATGTGTGTGTGTGTGTGTTTAAGTAGCAAAATAATGTTAAACTAATCAGATGTTGACAATGTTAAAAATTTATAAATGTAACATTAAAAAGTGAAGTTTATACAGTTCGGCTCGAAGTGATAAAATACTATTCTATCAAATTTCTTTCAAAACCATCAAAATTAAACGAAATTTTTATGGTTAATTTTCATTAATTAAACGCATTATCCCAATGGCGATACCAGCTAATAAAAAACATCATAAACTACAATAATATTAGTAAATAATAACAACAACAATAATAATAATAACAATAAATATAAATATAAACAATAATTATAACAACAACAATAATAATAATGAGAATTATTGTTATTGTAATCATTAGAATAATAGTGTGAATAAATTAGTGAAATACTGAACGATATCATCTAAGACTAAGTTGTATTATGATTATACACATCATCTAATACATGATTGTCTGTACGGTGAACACACGCACAAGTAAACACACACGCACGCACACACGCACGTAAAAGTTGATATAATAATTTTACAAAATGTGGATGGTGATAGCTGTGTGTGAAAGTTGCTGGGAAATATCATCAATGTTTTGTACGTTCTTTAAAAAAGTTCGTAGTCAACTTGATCACTTTTACAAAAATGCAAAACTTAATTCGCAATTGCACACGCGCGCACACATACAGACACACGCACACATACAGACACACGCACACACGCACGCACGCACACGACAAAACATTATAAGATATATAAAACGCATGAAAATGTATAACATATATAGTATTTACTTTTATATATAATTTAATATTTTTATATGGGTGTGAGTGTTCGCATGTTGTTGGTGGATGTCTATGTACGTCTGTGCTAGTTAAGTGACCAGACTCGATAAGCATCTTTGTGAATTTTTGAGAAGCAAATTAAATTCCGTTTCGTTTCGTTTCGTTTAGTTTTGTTTCGTTTTGTTAGTCGTCAGTCCCATCATCTACAGAAGTTGATCGGCAGGTGGCGTTGCATTTCAGCCGGCCAGACATCTCGCTGGTTAGATGCATCCATTTTTTGAACAGACGCCGATGTGGTGACTTCTGATTTGATGGGAGTTGCTGCAAATTCGTTGCTTGTGGCTGGTGATGATGCGTACGATGGCGAGGGTGACAATGGTGATGATGAAGATGATGGTTTTTGTTGTTGTTGGTGGTGGTGGTGATGTCGGTGCGGTGTGGTCTTCTTGATACTGAGGTCCAGTTCCATCTCACTTTCGGGCTCTTCTTTTTTGATAGTTCTACCTGAAAATCGAATTGTTGGCAATATTTTCAAAAATATTGAAATATTTATGTTAAGTTATTATTGTTACACTCGAATTTGCAGCACATCGCAGCGGAATGATCATGAGCGTGTATTATAAATACAACGCCGGTAAGCCCATATCCGCACTGTTCCTTCATTTGCGTGTAACTTGCAACCATCAGCGAATTATAAAAAAATTAAAACAATCGTGAAAAAACTCACGTGACACATCACCATCAGCTGGGGCGTTCTTGGTATCCTTCAAATTTTGAGGAATGAGTAATGGCAGACCACCGATTTTGTGGCCGGCAAACATCTGCGCCAATTGATTTGGCGGGAACAGTAGATGTTGATGTGATGGATGTTGAAGGGGAAGGTTGCCAGCACTCAAAGCTTCGACTGGAAATAGGGGATGTTTGTAGCCTTGCTGGATAATCTCAGTAAACTTTCGTTGCGAATTAGTCACTGTGTTGTTGCTATTTTGCAGAACGGATTGGTGAAACTTGTCAACTAGATGTCTGAAGTTGCCGTAATGTTGTTGCAGTGCAGAATCCATCAAACCATCTTTTCCGTGACCACCAATCAAATGACGATGTTGATGCTGGTGCTGTTGAAGTTGTTGTTGCAGTTGCTGCTGCTGCTGAACGTTCAGGGGCTCCACCGACATTCGACGCCCCCTGCGAGAAGGAATTTTGTTCCAAGCATGCGTCCCCATGTGCACCTTCAGGTTTCCTTTCGTGGTGAACGCCTTGTTACAAGTGGGACAAACGAAAGGGCGGTCACCTGTGTGCGTGCGAGAGTGAATCTGAAGTGCGCTGGTGCTGCTGAAAGGTTTCTCACACGTCGTACAGAAGTAACGGGAGTTTGTAGGGTTGTTAGTTGCATTTGACGACGACGTCGTTGTCGCTGGTGTGGCTGCATTTGTAGCAGCTGACGTCTTGTTGTTTGGAGGTTTGTATTGTTTAGTTGATTCTGACACTGGTTCAATGATGATAGTTTTGTTGATTGCCGTCTCTAACGGTCTGTCGGATGATGTCGATTGGTTGGATAGTTGGTCGAAATTCTCTTGCCCGTCGTTTCTAGCCGACAACTTGGATTCCTGTTCTGCAGCACTGTCGCTCATCGCCTTCACGTTAGTCGCCGGCGAAATAGATTTGGATGATCTCGATGAAGAATCGGACCACAACTTATTGTTTGCACCTTTGCTTTTATTGTTCTGCGCAGTTTCAGTGAGTTTGGCAGACAGAGCGTGATGACTGGTTCCAACGTGTTGCTTCAGGTTGCCCTTCGTTGTGAAAGCTCGGTCGCAGTACTCGCACCTGAAGGGTCTCTCCTTCGTGTGGCTGCGTAGGTGGATGTCCACCGCACTCTTGCACGAAAACATCTTGCCACAAACTGGACAAGCTGCACTCGCTTTGTTGGAGCTGGGGTGGCCACCACTGCCGCTGTTAATGTTTAAAATGGTCGGTGGTGTGTTGTTGTGGTTGCTGAGTGCGATGTTGTGGTTGCTGAGTGCGATGTTGTTGAGGATGTTGGTGAAATTTTTGTTGACGAAGATAGAGTTTTGTTGCTGAAGCAGTGCCGCTTTGTGGCTGTCGTTCTTTAAAACGTTTGGCAGTGCCGGGAAAAAATCAAACGGAAGTCTGATGTTGTTGTTGTTGTTGTTAGCCATAATTTTAAAATTATCGTTGATCTTGTCGTCGTAAGAAACTTTGTTGTTGCTACCAATGTTGTTGTCATCGATGTCGTTCTCACCATTGTGGCTATTTGCACCCTCGCCGAGCCTTCCACCAACATTATCGTCAGCTTCAACAGCAAAAGTATCCGAAAGGCCAATCTTTAAATTTTCAACCTTCATATTTTCCGCTGCAAGCGCAGGTAGCGTCGGACGCCAAGGCGATTTGTTATCGGGTGGTTTGAGTTGCGACTGCTCTGTTGGATGCTGAAACATGACGTTGGAGTTGTCATTTATGGAGTTAACTTTGTTGGCCAGTGACAACAGAGGAGATAAGTAAGCTAACGATGGAATCATTCGTTCTTCAACTCTTTCTGTCGCTGGCTCTTGTTTTATTTTATTCGCCAGGTCTGTAACATTTGCACCTGACTTGCAGTTGGTTGCTTGTTGATCGTGCATAATTTTTTTGTAATCGACAGGCGGGGAAGTCCAACGATTTGTTGGCGATGCTAGTTGCTTGGGGGATGCAGTGGCTAGCTTTTCATTCAGGTTTCTGTTAATGTTCTTATTGTTATTGTTATTACTATTGATGTTGTTGTTACTATTATTGCTGTTGTTATGATAGCTATCATAGTCATCATCGTCGTCGTCGTCACGATGTTCTTTTGAAATGTTCACTTTTTCATCATCATCATCGCCATCATCGGCTTCATTATCTTTAGAATGGTTATCATGTAGATTTGTATCATTATCATAACCTTCATCACCGTTTTCATCATTTTCATCACATTCATTATCGTTTCTCAAAACATTAATATAGTTGTTTTTCAATTCGTTCTCTTTATTTACATTCTCTGACTGATCATCCGTCAGATCTTCTTCACTTTTGATCATTCGATAGCTGTTGTCGCCACGTCTGCCTTTGCTCTCATTGCCCAGGTAGAAGTTATTTCTTACTATGACGCCACTTTTTGTAGACACGTCTCTTCTCTCGTCTTCGTCGTTGTCTTCTTCATCAGATGGTGATGAAGACTGTTTTGGCTGCTGTTGCTGCTGCTGCTGCTGCTGTTGTTGGAGTTGCTGCTGCAAGAAGTTTTGCGATAACTTTGCCAGTTCAAACGCTCTCTGAAAACATTAAACATTAATTATTATTAAACACGTAACATTTCACACTAAGTATGTTTGATTGAAAGAACAGTCCCTGCCTATCACTGCATGTATTTAATTGTAGCAAATTCACAGTTTAAAATGGAAAATTCTCTAACCGTGGCCAAATGCGCAGGTAAAATTTGGTTCATGTAACCGGTTGGATAGGGGAGGAATGGATTGATTGGAGGAATGAACAGCCCTGGAATCATCCCACCAGGATAAGGGATGGCTCCTTTACGTTGGATGTTTTGTAAACTCTGTTGAATCTGCAATTGTTGTTGTTTCTGTTGCTGTTGAAAATGTTGGTGCTGGTGATGCTTCAGAGATTCGCTTGCGTGGCTTCTGAAATGCTGCTGCAAGACGAGCGGGTTTGAAAACTCCCTGAAACAGATGGGACACTTGTGTATCGACCGCTGAAAGGTTTTGCCTCGATGGACGCTCATGTGAGTCTTCAAGTTGCCCTTCGTCGTGAAGGTTCGAGAGCAGAGTTTGCATTTGTAGGGGCGTTCCCCGGTGTGCGTTCTGTAGTGCATCTGCAGGGCGCTCCGGCAGCTTAGAATACGATGGCACATGACGCACTGGTTCGGATCTTTGACTTTGCCCTCGTTTTCGCGAATCAGTTCTTCCATCTTTGAGTTTTCAGTCAGTTGAATCTCCATGAACTGTTCCAGCGGGTCGTCGTGGCTGTTGGCAGCCAGCATGGCGGATTTTAAAAAATTTGTCGGTGTCGTGAAGCGATAATTTGTACTGTTGCTACTGTTGGTGGCGTTGTGTGACGTGTTGTTGCTGTTGTTGTTGCTGTTGTTGTTGCTGTTGTGAATGTTGTGGCTGTGACTAAAATTGTTGACTGCTTGGTTAGAATCGTTGGGGAAAATTGAAACTTTATTAAAGTTGAGAGCTGAAGACATGGACGAGAGGGCCATGAGAGGGGATTTGAATTCTTCGCTGGTCGTTGATGAAATGGATGCTGGTGGAGGCGTTATGAAGTCGTACTTGCTGGCGCTCTTGTTAACGTAAATGTTATTTTCGTTTAGTCCTGGCTTGTTGCTGTTGTTGCCGTTGTAAAAATCAAACGGATTTACACAAATTTGGGGATGTGTTTGTGGTAGTGGCGGCTGTGGCTTGTGGTTGTGCCTGCTTTCATCTTTGTGGCTTTCCTCGTTGCTGCTATTGATAACACTACCGTTGTCGGGCTTTTTATTTTTGCTGTTGTTCGTGTTATTATTAATATTGCTACTATTATTAGAAATGATATTGTTATTATTATTATTATTATTATTATTGTTGTTGTTGTTTTTGTTGTTGTTGTTATCAGAGACGTGCAGGGTAATTTTCCTTCTTGGCTGGGCGTACTGTGATGACATCTCGTCATCATTCCTGCTGTCATTGGCGTCATTGTTCTCATCCCCATCATCACCATCATTTTCATTATCGTTGTCCTCTTCCTCGTCCACATCATCATCTTCATCTTCGTCATTTGTGTTATCATTTGGTCCGCTGTTATCATTTTCAAAATCACCATCGTTTATTGCACGTTTTAAAGTGTTATCATTCGAGTGGCAGAGTTGAATAAGTTTGCCGTCTTTGCCGTTGTCAGCTACAATTTTTGTTGAAGCGACGTCAGGGCGATTGTTGTAGCTGTTGTGGTTGTAGCTGTTGTGGTTGTAGTTGATGTGGTTGCTGCTGCTACTACTGCTACTTCTGATGTTGTTGTTGACGATATTGGATAGAAAAAAGAGTTTGTAGTATTCGTAGAATGAAAATGGGTTTAGTTGAGGTGTGGTAGTGTTGTTGTTGATGTTGTTGATATTTTTGTTGCTATTGCTGTTGTTGTTGTTAATGTTGTTGTTGTCGTTGGTGTTGCTAATGTCATCAGCTGCATACTTTCTGCGTCGAACATCTGGTTTAATTTATTTTAATAAAATAAAATTTTTAATATGTCAATAATCACTTTTAATACAAGTAAAAAATTTGAAAGTAAAATATATTACTACCAGAAAAAATGAACAACAGAAGAAATTGCAAAGTTAATAGCATAGGATAGGCAGTATAAGATGAATCCCACCACAATATCATCGTCATTGTCATTATCATCGTCATCGTCGTCATCATCATCGTCATCATCATAATTCGTCGAATGAAACCGGAAGTCGGAACAGAAGATCACGTGACATGCTTTTAAGATGATGCTATTTAGAATATCAATGAATTGTAATGCAGCCCAACTGAATCATACAAAAAATGTTGTTGTTGTTGTTGTTGCTGATGTTTTTTGTTGTTGTTTAGTGTTGTTGTTGTTTAGTGTAGTGAAATATGTTAATGTACTTTAAGTTTGATGTTATTGCTGTCACTATTATTGCCATATTATTGATGAATTGTTTATTATAGTTGTCAGTGATATTACAATTATTAGCTATCTAGACAGCGTCAACATAACTTCTTACTTGACTTTTGTGTGTGTCTGTACATTTGTGTGTGTGTGTGTGTGTGTGTGTCACCTTCATTGCATTTATTAGCATCACAAGTTATTGATGTCATCATTGTAAAGAATATTAACCAATCCATTCCACACATTTTTTCTTCATCATCATCAACACCATCGTCATCATCATCGTCATCGTCATCATCGTCGTCGTCGTCATCATCATCATCGCATGACTTATTACTATTTATAATTTATAAGGTTCATCTTTATCGTAAATGTCATCTTATTGTCATTTTAGCAGCACCACCATTATTACAATTTATATTTTTTTATTTTCTATTATTTTAAAAATGTCGAAAACTCAAAAGTTTAATGCCGCGAAATTAAATGTCTCCTTGCCCAAGATGAAAAACATAGCTAAAAAATTGAAGAAATTAATAAAAATTCTCAAAACAAAATGACGTCATCCATCTCAACCATTTTGTTGAAAACGCAATCAAATATGGCAAAAACAAGAGAAGCGGATAAAACTTTGGGGCTGTTTGTTGATCTCCAAATTGGGGACCATTCTCGTTTGTGGGCTGTTAGAATATTGAGAGCTCATTGTGTGTGTA